TCCTGTACCAGTACCAGACCTGGCATGCTACTCTCCAGGCTTCTTGTACATATAAAAAGAATAACTTATAATTACCTCAAAAAATAAAGAAGAAGTAATTCTCTTCTACCAAAAGTTCACAACACAGAGGGGAGATAAGATGAATGAATGATCTTTACAGTTTTGTGTGTACACGTGCTATACACAAACAAGTGCACTGCTTATTTTAATGTTGTACACATATTGGCTTCTACTGTATAAAGACTTTATGGAAAACGTGATTTTTAAATGTTGTTACTTTACAATTGACCAGACGGAAAAAGATCTAGGTCAGAAGTCTTAAATTAGCAGTCCATAGATCAAATCTGACTTGCAGGTATGACTCAGTTTGTTTTTGTTTTGTTTCTCACACAACTGAAATAGAAATTTTAGATAAAATCCTGATTTCTGAAATCACTTGGAAATCAGAAGATGGCTTACCTTGGGCATGAATTCCACAGAATATCAGTGGACTGGAGTTTATTAATAGCTCCCTTTAGATGGAGTCTGTGCTCCATCTGGGTACCACAATCTCCACTGGTTGGCTGCATTCATTTATGTTATTTAACTGCCTCCCATTGCATTTGTATTTGTGACCCCCCAGACATAGGTTCTAATGTCGGTTCTAACAAATTGTGAAAAACAGGAATTTTAAGCCTGTTTTTCAACCCAAGATCTACCCCACCTGCTATGATAACTGACTGGGTAAACCAGTCAGTTTGATCAAGGATGATTTGACATATGAGCTTTTTTCCTAGGAATTTTTAACTTGGAACTTAGAAAAGCTATTTAATCCCTGTATGCAGTCAGAGCAGTCACTTTGGGAAGTGTAGAATGGCCATATTCTGCCATTTTGATTGCTCAAGAGGAGATACCTCACTGGAGAGAGAAAGAGAGAAAGGCAGAGATAAACCCAGGCCATTGGGATCCATGAGAGTGCACTGTATCGGAGAAAACAAACAAACAAAAACCAGAAAATACATTTGCACACATTTTTTAAAAATAATTTCTGTCTGGGAACCAGCAGGTGGCATGGTGTTTGGGAGTGCTGGACTCCCACATGGCGGATCGAGGTTTGAGTCCCAGACCTGGTGGCTTGCTTTCTCTCTCTCTCTTTTTTAAAATGAATTAATTAAATTAATTTTATTTTGCTGCAGGGTGTGCGCACTCTCCAGAAAGAGCCAGAGAGACAGAAATTGGGGAATCACCCCTCCAGGGGGCATGGCCATATTGCAATCCTTTCTCCTCCATTCTCCTCTGGGGATTTTGGGCACGCATGCACACGTGTCTGGCATGAGGTTTTTTTTTTTTTTTTCAGATACTAAAAGACTTATTTCATTATTTTTTATTTATACATTTAATCACCATACATCGTTTAGATTGTAAAGAGACTTTACCCAGCATGATATACACCTCAGTCCCGTCCAGTTGAGAATAATATATGTGTCCTCATCAACAAATAATAAACCATATCTGTGTCCCACAAATATCTTACCTCTCTATTTTTTTCCCCCAAATTTCCTTTCCTATCCTCGTGGCTTGCTTTATCACGTTCCTTTTCTCTCTCTGTCCCTTTCTGGCCAAATTAAAATAAATAAACAAATAAATAAATAAAGTTAAATAAAATAATTCTTTTTTTAAAAAATGGTTTCTGTCTTTTATAAATACATGTCTTAGCCTTGAAATCTGCTAGTGTCTACTCTCTATGCCTCAGATTCCAAATCCCTTAAAAAGAAATCTAATAATATTTCAGACTGTCAGACAAGATTATGTTGGTGTTCAAATAAGTCTCTGTGTGTGTTTGTGTGTGTGTGTGTGTTTATTTGAAAACCATAAACCATGCTTTAAAAACCTAATGTATTATTATCACAACACTTCTGACCATGCTTAGTAACTGGAGACAGCTAGATGAATAAAAGTAGGGAAATGTGTGTGACTACTGCACAGCAAAGTGCCCATAGCCCTTGTGGCTTTTAAGTCAAATACATATTTGGCAGAAAAGCACTCTCCAGTGGATGCCAGGGTGGGCCTAACATATCAGGATTTTTCTCTTCTTCGGGGTTGAGCATACTGTAGTTCTTTGTAAGCATGAATATGGGAATTTTTTTTTTTCTCATCAGTACTTTTGAGCAATGCTAGGTTCCTTAAGCAATTTTCCCTAGTCACTAGCACTTGAATCCATTACAAAATTGCAGATGAACTGTAATTTTCTTCTGCTCAATGATGCAGTCAAAACTGGTAAATCAGGGTGTGCCACTGTCAGGAAGAATTTGGTTAAAATGAAACTGCTCCCTACGACTCTTAAACCCAAACTCAGATTAAATTTTGCTTGTTTCATAATAAGAGGACCTGTTTGAGAAACAAAGTTTAGATAACAGAATATAACAATCTTTCTTTGCTGTGATGGCTGTAAAGAAAAACAATGGAATGCCAGTTAATTGATTTCTAATTAAAAAGGTACAGTATTTGAAGAGTGATTTTTGTGAACTTGCACTTGTATTGTTGGCCTGAACAAAGTATTTGTTTGTTAGATTGAAATTTTGTGTATTTTTCAGTTCGAAGTCCTAAAAGAAGTTTTAGCTTTCTACCTATGAGTATTAGAAAAGCAGTACAAAAATAACTACTAAAATTACCTTTGGGAAGGAAAATTCATGTTCATAAAAGCAGAAAATGGAAGATAATTTAAAATAATATATGCTATTATCCTACAAATATATCCCAGTGAGCTTGATTAAAAAGTATACAGCCAAAACAAAAGCAGAGTTGTTTGTAACATAGCTTGCAGTGGACAACTGACCACAGAGAAATGAACACTCGAGTCAGCTCATTTTCTCACTATAGTGGCTGGCTGTTTTTTTGGAATGAAGAGCAAGGAAAACTTGATCTCTGAAAGTGCCCAACTGAAAATAGTTGAAGATGTATTTAGGATAAAATCATGGGAAAACATTGATGGGAGATTGCCACTAATTTTTTTTAAATTTTATTTTTTATATTGCATTTAATCACATATATCTTCACAGTGTATAACATTTCTTTTTCCAGCACGATTACCATGTATATCAGTGGCCAATATAATTCTCATTTTAACAAAATCGGTTGAAGAAAGGCCTTTTCTATATATGAAACTGAATAGATTACGGAAGAGTAACCCAAGATAGCTGTGCACATTTTGTTAAGAGCCGAAAATGGGTGTTTGGTGAAATGCACGTTTTGGTTTGGAGCATCTTTCTGCCCAGCTAGAGAATGGTGGGGTCGCTGGAGGGCAGACCCCGGAGCACAAGCTTCTCGCCGGCTCTGCCGCACGCTCCGCCCGGGAGAGCGGAGCAGGAGCGGGAGCGGCGGCGGCAACCCCGGACAGCGACCCGGGCGGAGACCGCGGGCAGGGCCGGAAAGGGCGCCGCCGGCGGTGGGGGGGCGAGGGCGCTCCGGGACGCCGTCGGCCTCGCGG